CGACCCCGGGCTGCCCCGCCCCGAGCGCTGGCACCCGGGCCTCCCCGCGTCGCCACTGCCCCCTGGCGCGCCCGTGATCTGGGCTTTGCCACCGTGTCCTCTCAGCTCTTCAGCCCAGCCGCTTGGTCACCTGGCACCAAGGCCCGCCCACGCCCCACGCGGCCTCTTCGGGACTGTCGCCCGCCTCTAAGCCTGGAACCGCAGCTCCCCAAGGGCATAAAGGCGGCCCAAGGACGTGCAGCCTGTGCCAGCCAGGTCACCACACACAGAAAGGGGCCCTTTAACAGCCCAGCGACCGGAGGCCACCTGGACAGGCTGCTGCCCCTTCGGGTCCCCTTGGCCAGAAGCTGCGGGACTGGGAATAGGGGTCTCCCAGTCGTTCAGAGTACCCCCACTCTGGGGGCTTTCCAGCACAGGGCAATGCAGTCAGACTGGGCTGCGTTTCTGGCTGTCACCAAGTGGCAGGAGCCACTGCCTGCTTTCGAGAGAAAGTGTGTCACCAAGGATGGCGCTCCTGCCGCAGGTATCAGGTGATTGTGTTCAGCTCAGTAGGTTGGCCACCTGGCACAGATGCAGTGGGTGCTCACTTGGGCAAGGGCTCTGGTCACCCTGGGAAGAAGTGGCCCTGCACAGAAGGCCCAGGTCACCCCTGTGGGCTGGAGAGCGGACTGAGGCTCTAAAGCACAATTTCCTTTGGGGACAGGCCTATCTCCCATGCCCCCTCCCCCCCAGTGTGTCTGCTGCAGGATGTGAGGCTGCCCCGGTGACCTCAGGGTCACTGTGAACGCATGGCTGTCCCCTCTTTTGTTCAGGTGCTGGGGTAACCTGTGACTAAACGTTTCTCCAACCCCCTCCCCAACTGCATTAGTTTCCTCTGACAGGTACAAAAGTGTGGCTCTCCAGAAAGGGGACTTGGCACTAAGCGGGGGCATCTCTGTGCCAGGGGCTTGCCTTCATCGTCAGGTGCCTTGGGTCAGCGCTTGGCTCCTGGGGCCTCCATGTGCAGTGGGTCATTGTGACCCGCAGGGTTCTCATTGGCTGACGTTCAGAAGGCAGTCACCAGGCCTTGTCTTCCTGCTCCATGTTGGTCCGGGCACTCCACTGAAACCTGACGGAAAGGTAGCAGCTGTGCAGGAGGTGCATTGGCCGGGATTCGAACCGAGTCCCCCATGCAAGACGAGAAGTAGCGGTCCCTTAGCAGGCTGCGGGGCAGTGAATTACCTGGTGTGGCTCCAGTCGGTGATGAGTTCATTCCCAGCCTGTGTCTGTGGCGAGGTAGCCACGCCGGGCAGGTTGTCTGTTATGTTGGTGAGGCCGTGTTGGGGCAGGATGCAGCCTTACTAGAGCGTGTGACCCCGGTCACCACCTTTCCCAGTCACCGTCCTCCACAGCCCGGCACAGCCTTGTTGGGGTAAGGAGGAGTCCCCCACGAGTGTGCTCTGCACCCAGTCTCTGGATGTTGTGGCAGCTCATTGTATCTGGATGCTGCAGCCGGCTTGTCATCAGCTGACCCCCGGTTCTTGGAACCTGAGCAAGCGTCCTGTCATCTGACCTGTAGCCTTGGGTCAGCTCCTGCAACCATGTCAGTCAGGAGAAGCCTCCAGCCTGATGCCTGAACCACGGATTTGGGCCCTGCCAGCCTCCACAGCCACATGGGCCATTCCCTTGACGGCTGGTGAGTTCTGTGAGGCACCGTGGTGAACTGCGTAATTGTCATGAACTACGGGAGGGGGAGCACAGGAGGGAGTAGGAGGGGCCGGTGTTGAGAGGAGGGCGTGGGACAGCATTTGGACGTTTGGGACATCTTTAACTCCACCTCACAGGGACCAGGCTGGTGTTGATCCTTCTGAGAGAGATGACTCGTGCCAGGTGTCCTTACCTTTCTGTGGAAGTGCAGTGGCTGCTGTCCATAGTAGACCCCAGGGCTTCCCAGTAAACCCATTCAGTAAACCACATTCTAGTGTGACGTTCCCAGCTGGAAGCCACTGTTCTATATCATACCCACCCGTGGGACAGGGCACCCTCGCTGCCTTGGAGGCGGCCGGAGCCCTGGGTGCTGTCCTGCCATGCACAGGAGGCCACGTCCAGGAGGGGCTGCGGGCCCCAGGGTTGACTGGCTCCTGGGACTGGGACAGCCAGACTCCCAGAGGGAGTGGTGGCAGGTGTGGCCAGAGGGGGGGAGGCTGGGACACAGGTGAGCATCTGAGGGGGCGCTTGGGGTGTTTGGCAGTGACTTCTTAAATCCAAGGAAACTTCTGCGCAGATGGAGGTGGGTGCGGCAGAAACTACTGTTTGGTACTCTGTCCCCAGGCCTCCGCACCACTTTGTAAGTAGCCCCCACAAACCACTCACCTGTCTTGTTTCTTTCTAGCACTTTCTCCGGCTTATTGTGTGTTGTCTGGCCCTCCATTGCCACCCTCAGGGGTCTGCCCCCAACCCCCTCCCCCTTCACATGGAGGGCAGTCCCCCTGGGGCTGTGGCCTGGGGATTCCACCTGACCCTGAACCTCCCTGCTGCTCACCCCATCCCGGCCACTGCAGGGCGTGACAGGGCGTGACAGAGAGGGCCCAGGGGACCCTGGGCAGGGACACAGCCCGTGCAGGCACCCCACTGTCCACCCAGGAGGCTTTCCCAGCCCCTCCCGACCTTCATCCCATTTCACTGTCCCAGTGCCCCCACCAGATGAAGAAACCACGGCCCAGGAACGAAAGACAGGCCCAGGCTGGGGGCAGGGCCAGGCCGCCTGGCTCTGATCTTGTCTCCTGCTCTGTCTGGCTGCCTGGGGACCCTGAGGCCGTCCTCAAACACCTCCCCCATCCTGCCTCAGTTTTCCTGGGGGCTTGGGGGGTGTGATTGTAGGCAGGCTCTTGGGGGGTGGATGCCTGGCATCTGCCCCAAGGCTTTCTGCCACTTAGCCCCTCTCAGCTCCAGCCACTGCCGAGTATCCCTGGACACGGGCTGGTGGGCCTAGGGGGCTGTCAGGAGGCCACTGGAATGAACTTTCTGAGAACAACGCCTGGCACAGGGTAGAGGCTTCTCAACGCAACTGGGAGAAGGAGGTTGAAACGGCAACATTTTTGTTGTGTGTTTTATATGACAGTAATTATTTTAAAAAGATGGAGGATGAAGTTCCCAGAGGTGAAAGTCACTTGGCCAGGAGGTGACATTGGGGGCTGACACTCACTATGGCTCTCGACCCTTGGGAAGGGCCCTCTGCCCTCCTCCCCTCCTGAGGGAGGTGGGAGCAGCTCTAGGGCGGGCCCTGGTCAACCTTCCATCCCGAAGGGACTGTTACCCAATGTCACCTCCTCCCCAGTTCCGGCCTCTTGGGGAGGTGTTGAAAGGAAATGTCCACTTTCCCCCAGTGAGAGGGGTAGGGGGCTGGAGGCTGTGGGAGATGCGGAGTCTCTCCAGGGAGGGCGTCAGATGGGGGGCCAAGCCAAAAACCAAACTCACTGCCAACCAGGGGCCTGGTAGGAAAACAGGCATGTCGCGTCTGGTACACCAACAACACCCTTTTGTCCCCAAAAAGCACCACTCCGGGGAACCTTCTGGGCTGCAGAGGAGTTGGGAAGGAGGCTGCCCTGGGAATCCATGCTTCTCCACTCACTGGACACGGTGCGGCTGCTGGTCTTCACCCCGAGAGTGTGGTTGGATGGGGAGGGGCGGGCCACGTCCTGTCTGAGCCTCTCAGGGCATCTTCGAGCCCCCCGCCAAGTGCCCAGGAAGGTGCAAGGGGGTGGGGAAGGCTCATGGCTGGGTCAGCGGGGCACGGGTCTGGGTGCCTGATTCTGGGGCAGGGGAGGGCATGTCTTGACCCTGGAGAGGCTCCGGGATCCCTCGCTGGGACCCAGTAAGGCAGTGGGTGACTCGCGGTGGTGAGGTGACAGCCTGAGCTGGCACTGCTTTGAGGCTGAAGGGCCGAGAGTCCAAGGCAGGGGTGCGAAGGGCTGCCCGCAGAGAACACTCGGCCTGGAGGCTGGCCCGACCACTTGCCATCAGTGAGGCAGGATGGGGGCCCTGTCGTCTTTCTGTTTCTCTTGGGGTGCTGGGACATCTGGAGGGGGGGCCAGGGTTCTTCGTGCCTGGGAGACGGGTGAACCACATGGGTGCTGGCTTTTTCCCGGCAGGATGGGAGGCCCTGGGAATGGGGCCGAGCTGGCGTTCACCTCCCGGTGACCCCCCCCACACCCGTCTGTTCCCTCACCTGCTGAGAGGAGGCACGCTGGCACTGGCGTCCTGGGCCCAGCAGGAAGTGGGGCCACTGTGTTTGAGTCATCAGGCATCAGGAGGAAGTGGCATGACCTGAGCTTTGGGAGCCTGGCCTCTCTCCCTGCACAGCTGCCAGGGTGGGAGGACTCTTAAGCCATCCAATAAGATAAGGGACAGGTGTGGCAACTGGAGGGGACAGGGCAGCCCCTCTGGGGCCCCTTGCTTCCCCCTTAGGCAAGGGGGAGTGGGTGGCCTCCTGGGTGCTGGCAGGCGGAGCCTCTCAACGGTGCTCACCAAGGCACCCACGCCATCCCCCACCCACAAGCAAGGGCCTGTGAACCTTTCACGGATGATGCTTGAGTAGAGACGAGGTGGGGCCCTGGCCAGGTTCCCAGGGCTCTGCGGCGGCCAGGCACAGCGCCCTGCCTCCATGGGATGGGAGGCCGTGCAAAGCCCAGGCCATGTGGAGCTGGGGGCATTCGGACTGGGGACAGCAGGAGACCAGCACCTTGATGCCTGTCCCAGCTCCAGCCACACGGGCAGGAAAGTCAGCAGGGCTGGGAGACACAGGGTCAGGTGAACTCAGAGGATGCCGGGGGTGGCAAGACTCGTCAGGCGACCAGGACTAAAGCGGGGCAGGAGCCCGAGGGTCTGGGACAAAGCTATCACCCCCCAGGGTAGCTGGGCCCCAGCCATCCCCAGCCCGCACCTCGGCTGGGAGCCAGAGAGCAATGTGGAGAGCCCCTCAGCCACCTCCCAGGGCCACCACCCCATGTCTGTGGACAAGCGCCACCCAGCCAGCTCACGGGAGCAGTGATGCTGGGGCTGAAAGGGCTAATTGGCAGAAAGTCGCACCCAGGCCCCAGGCGGTCACTTCCTCGCATTTTCTTGAAATTGTCACTGTCATAAAATACACAGCCAAACGTTGCCGTTCCAACCTCCTTCTCCCAGTAAGATGTTGAGAAGCCCCCACCCTGTGCCAGCTGTTGTTCTCAGAAAGTGCATTCCATTGGCCTCCTGACAGCCCCCCAGGCCCCCCAGCCCATGTCCGAGGATGCACAGTAGCGGCTGGGGCTGAGAGGGGTTAAGTGGCAGAAAGCTGCGGGGCAGATGCCAGGCATCCACATCCCCCCCTTTGGAGCCTGCCTGCAATCACACCCCCCAAGCCCCCAGGAAAACCAAGGCCCACAGGGTGGGAGAGGTGTTCGGGGATGGCCCCGGGGTCCCCGGGCAGCCAGATGGAGCAGGAGACAAGATCAGAGCCAGGCGGCCCGGGCGTGCCTGGGCCTGCCCCCAGTCTGGTCCCATCTTTGCCTTCTGGGCCTTGGTTTTCTCTTGTTTGCAAAGGGCACAGTGTGGCGTCTGGTGGGGGTGTTGTGACAGTTAAAATTGACCACAGGCGTGAGGGGCTGAGGAAGCCTCCTGGGTGAGCCTGGACAGTGGTGGGACCTGCACGAGTTGTGTCCCCACACAGAGTCCCCTGGGCCCTCTCTGTCATTCCCTGCAGTGCAGTGGCCAGGATGGGGTGAGCAGCAGGCAGGGTCGGTGTCAGGCAGACTCAGATAGACGCCCCCTCTCCTGACCACAGCCCTGCCCTCCGTGTAAAGGGGGAGTGTGTTGGGGGCGGGCCTCTTGGGGTGGCAGTGACGCGGCCCCCCATTGCCCCATAGCCTAGTGGCTCTCGGCTCATGCCTGGAGGCCAGTGGCGTTCCTTGGGCAGGCTGCCCCCAGCCACCTCACCTTTGGCCCAGCTGGCATCCCCGACTCCGTCAGCTGCGGGCCACTCCGCAGGCCAGCAGACGTGGGAGGGGCCTCACCCCACCAGCGTCTGACTTGCACCAGCCGCCGCCCAGGGTGAGGGGTAGTAGAGGCACCCAGCTAGACTCTTACTTCATGGCAGGTGGGAAGGGGATGGCACACAGAATGCTTCGGGGGGGGGCCCTTCCCCACCTGCCTCTTGGGGCCTCAGTTTCCCCTGCTGTGCAGCAGGGTTTGTAGTAGCTGACTGGGGAGGCCTCCCTAGTGAGAGCTCCTGGTGGGGCAGGGCAGAGGGGAGAGTTGGGGGCTGGGAGGGAAGGAGGGAGTCTGGGAGAAGGGCAAAGAAAGAGGAAGAGAAGGGGAGGGAGGAGGGGGCAGGGAGGGTGGAAGGCCTGGGCTGTGGTCTGTGATTAGAGGGTGCTCCTTCACCCCCAACTCCCCCCCAGCATGCAGGATTTCTGAAGCCTGGAGAGCACAGCCTTATCCCCTGGGCCCCGCTGTCCCCCGGGCCTAGAGCCCAGCCTCGTATCCTCAGCTCTGACCTTGAGCCCTGTGTGAAGTGGCTGGGAGAGGCCTTAGCAGCCCCTCCCTGGGACCCACCTGTTGAGCCAGGTGAGGCTGACGGGGTCTCAGCCCTGTGGTCAGAGGCGTCAGGCTGATCTCACTGCCCCGAGCCAGTCTCCACAGGACGAGGATAGTCACGGCAGGGACAGGGAGGACTGGGCAGGTACAGGACGAGGATAGTCACGGCAGGGACAGGGAGGACTCGGCAGGTACAGGACGAGGATAGTCACGGCAGGGACAGGGAGGACTCGGCAGGTGCAGGACGAGGATAGTCACGGCAGGGACAGGGAGGACTCGGCAGGTACAGGACGAGGATAGTCACGGCAGGGACAGGGAGGACTCGGCAGGTACAGGACGAGGATAGTCACGGCAGGGACAGGGAGGACTGGGCAGGTGTGTCAGACACCACTGCCCTTCCTCGCCGCAGCTGTCACTGTCACCGTGGGGAGTGCTGCCTTCCCGCCCTCAGGCAGACCTCAGCCACCTCTCTCAGCCCCAGGGTGGACCTGGTGTCCCTGCCCTCCTCCAAGCCTGTGCTGTGGGGACTGTGATGCCTTGTGTGGGGTGGGGAGGAGCCAGGGCATCGCAGGGTCCCTCGAGCTGAGGCTAGTGGCTTCCTGTCCCCTGACTGTGCCTCTTCCCTTGGGCTCACTTGGTGTTCCTTCCTTTCTGCAGCAGATGAGATGGGGCTCCCTGCTCCTCCCAGCACCTCCTCTAGGCCTGGAATGGAACTGGTGCTCCATAAATGTTTATTGAATGAGAGGATGAATGAGTGAGAGAGTGAATGAGGGAGTGAGTGAGAGAGTGAGAGAGTGAATGAGTGAGAGAGTGAGTGAGTGAATGAGTGAGAGAATGAGTAAGTGAATGAGAGAGTGAATGAGTAAGTGAATGAGAGTGAATGAGTAAGAGAATGAGAGAGTGAATGAGTAAGAGAATGAAAGAGTGAATGAGTGAGTGAGAGTGAATGAGTGTGAGTGAATGAGAGAATGAGTGAGTGAATGAGAATGAATTAAGAGTGAATGAGTGACAGAGTGAATGAGAGTGAATGAGTAAGAGAGTGAGAATGAATGAGAGTGAGAGTGAATGAGTGAGAGTGAGAGAATGAATAAGTGAATGAGAGTGAATGAGTAAGAGAATGAATGAGTGAGTGAGAGAATGAGTGAATGAGTGAGTGAGTGAGAATGAGTGAATGAATGAGTGAATGGATGAATGAGGATACGAGTGAGTTAGTGAATGAGTCAGTGAATGAATGAGTGAATGGATGAGGGAGTGAATGAGTGAGCCAGTAAAATGAGTGAGTGATTGGATGAGTGAGTGAATGAGAGAATGAATGAGTGAGAGTGAGAATGAATGAGTGAGTGAGTGAATGAATGAATGAATGAGTGAGTGAATGGATGAATGAGGATACGAGTGAGTGAGTGAATGGATGAGGGAGTGAATGAGTGAGTCAGTAAAATGAGTGAGTGAGTGAATAAGTGAATGGATGAGTGAATGGATGAGGGAGTGAATGGATAAGTAAGGATATGGGTCAGTGAATGAGTGAGTGAGTGAGTGGATGAGTAAGGGAATGAATGGATGAGATACTGAATGAACGAGTGCATGAACAGGTGAGTGAGTGAGTGAACCGTCCCCTCCGAGTCCAGAAGAGGCGCCTGTGGGCCATGGAGTGCTGGGGCGGAAAGCTGGGACCGTTGAGCTGAGCCGAGTGCCTGAGGCCGCGGGCCCTGACAGCTGACCAAGTGTGGGGTCGGGAAGAAGCAGCCTGCGGAGGGTGGGTGTGCTTGCCTCCCGGGCCCCAGCTTCGACCACACCCAGGTGCTCCCTGCACACAGGCCCAGGCAGCTGCTGCTGCTGTCTGTCCTCCCCTCTGGTTTCTTCCCACGGGTTGGGGGTCTGAGCTCTCGCTCTGCTCTGTGTGTGCAGACACAGGCACTCACGCAAACAAGAGGGTGCTGGGCAGGTGGCCTTGGGAAGCCATCTCCTTACTTCGCAACCCAGTTAACTCCAGGGGGCCTCGTGGAGTAAGTGTAGCCAGGAGAGGCCCGCAGCAGCACAGGGCCATGTGGGGGGCGGCAGCCAGGTGAGGGCAGGTGCCCAAGGTGGAGGATAGGGCCTGTGGCAGAACTAGGCGCCACACTTGCAGTTTCGGGAGGAAGAAGGGAGCAGAGAAGCTGCTGGGACCTCTGGGTGCAGCTGTGCGGGTCGTGACCTGCACGAGTCTAGGGGGTGCCAACTACATGCACTGCACCCCAGCACCCCATCCACAGTTCAAGCAGGCCTGGCTCTCTGGCCTCTGACCTCCACACCCTTCACTCCCCAAAGGCCTCACCACAAGAGCCCTGGGGTACAGCTGAGGTGAGGGGGCCAGCCCTCCTGCCACTGGGTGAGAGGTCAGACAGAGGCAGGGTCCACCCCATCCCTCCAACCCATTTCTGCCTGGACTTCAGCAAGCCTCCCTGCTAGCGGGCACCTGAGTCACCCTTGGGGCAGGCGGGGCCTCCTGGTGACCCGTGAAGGCCCCAGAGTCACTGAACTGGGAGCAGGACCACAGCCTCACCCAGACTCCTGGCATGGGCACCTCCCTACCCTGCAGTTACCTGTGCTGCCCCAGGCTGGGTGCCGGACTCAGCACTGTGTCCGACCCCAGTGATTCGGCCTAATACCACGTTCAGGGCTTCGGTTCTATCTCCCAGTTCACGGCATAGGGCCTGGGGTCTTCCAAGCTTGTAGCTGGCCATCTGGGCCCAGGACTTGGTCTCTGTTCACCTGGAGCAACAGCGGAAGAGGAGGGTCAAGAAGAGGAGGACATCATGGACTGTGGTTAGTTGCCTCCACGAACACTGCCTCCTTTGTCGGGGGACCACGAGAGCTGGATGGTGCCCGGCAACCATTACTGAACATTTTGATCAAAGATTCCATAGAAGAATCCTGATCCAATGGGGAAGTTAAAAGACATTAAAGACTTTGTGGAGCCGTGGAGGGTGGATGGATCCCCAAGACTATTGCCCTGAGATTTTACACCTTAAATAAATGTCCCCCGAGGGCTTCTTTGCACCGAACCCCAGTGTAGCTTCACCAGTAAGGACTGTCTGCCTCTAGCACTGCGCTCTCTGAAGATCTGTCGATAGTGTGTCAAGCTGACAAACCAAAAACACAATCGCAACACATTGCCCACTGCCATCGAGTCGGACCTGGCTCATAGTGACCCCGCCTTGGGTTTCTGAGGCGATACCACTACTGAAGTAGATTGCCCCACCTTCCTTCAGAGGAGTGGCTGGTGGGTTTGAACTGCCAGCCTTCTGGTCAGCAGTCACATACCTTAGGCACTACGCCACCAGAGCTCCCAAGTTTACGAACAGAAGCCCAGAAGATAAGACCGGAAACTCGGGGCC